AAGAGATCACTTGCACACTATTGATAAGAATATAAATTAGTTCAGCCATTAAGGAATGGAATATGGAGGTTCCTCAATAAACTAAAAATAGAATTATCATATGCTCTAGCAATCCTGCTTCTGGATAAATATTCAAAATTTAGAATTATTATTCTGGGGCTTGGTGTTTAACTCAGTGGTAGAGTACTTGCCTAGCATGTATGGGGCTCTAGGTTCAATTCCCCAGTACTACAAAAATAATATGTTGAAAAGAGATCTGTTCTTCCATGTCATTGCAACATTACTCATGATAGTCAATTTATGGAATCAACCTAGGTACCCTTATTAATTGGATGAATGGATGAAAATAATGTATGCAATCACAATAGAATAGTACTCATTCTTTCAAAAAAAAGACAATCCTGACATTTGCAAATATATATATATATAAATCTGGAGGACATCATGCTAAGTTAAATAAGTCAGGCCCATGAAGAAAAATACCTTATTTACTCATTAGTAGGATACGTACTCTTCTTAAGTGTATAGGGAACATGTCCATGATTTTCTGTTGTTCAGTCATAAAAAGTCTCAATAAATTTTAAAGGACAGATAGCACACAAAATATGGTCTCAAATTACAGTGGAATGAAATTAGAAAGCAGTGGCAGGTAGAAATTTAGGAAATTCACAAATGTGTGGAAATTAACCAACAGATTCTAGATTTTTTATTCTTTTTAGATACATATGACAGAAGAATGTATTTGACATATTATACATACAAGGAGTGTAACTTATTTTAATTAGGATCCCAGTCTTGTGGATGCACACAATGGTGAGATTCTTCAACAGATTCTAAATAGCCAATGATTCAAAGAAGAAATCACAGGGGACATTATAAAATACTCTGAAATAAATGAGAGTGAAAATACAATATACTAAAACTACAGTATGCAATATAAGATGTATAGGGGGAAAATTATAGCTGAAAATACCTATATTTTTTAAAGACCTCAAAATTGTAAAAAGAAAGAACTCAAACTTCCACCTAAGAACCTTGAAAAAGGAGAGCATGGAAAACTCAAAGCAAATGCAAGGGAATTAGAATAGATTAGAGGAAGCAGAGCAGGGGGAGAAAGGGGGGAAAGGAAAGAGGAAGGACTGGGGACTGAAATGGAGCAAATTATATTCCACGCATGCATGATTATGTCAATGAACCCCACTATTATGTATAACAGTAGTGCAGTAATACATTTTAAAAGGGAATAAGAAGATTGAAGTGGAAATAAATGAAAGTAGAAAAATGACAATAGAAAAAAATCAACTGAAACAAAAAGTGGAGCTTTGAAAAGATCAAACAAATTGGCAAACCTTTAGCTAGACTGATCCAGAAAAAAAGAGGGAGGATTGAAGTTACCAAAATCAGGAATAATAGGAAATTATAATCTACAGGGGGAAAAGAGACTATAAGAGACTATTATGAACAATTTCAAGCCAACAAATTAGAAAATGTAGATGGAATGGAAAAATTAGAAGATACACAGAAACTTCCAGAACTGAGAGGAAGAAATAGAAAACCTGATTAGGCCTGTAACAATAAATAAAGTCAGTAATCAAAAGCTTTACACAAAGAGTCCCTGAACCAGATGATATCACTGATGAACTCTACCAAGAATTTAAAAAAATTAACAGCAATACTTGACAAATTCACTCAAAAAATAGAGGAGCAGATTCCACTTATGAACTCCTTCTATGAGACTATAACTACCTTGTTGAAAAAAATAGACAAGGAAATAAGACTATATACCAATTTCTCTTATGAATATAGATGTAAAACTCAACAAAATATTAGCAAATCACTCCAGTAACACATAAAAAGATTATTTATCATGGTCAAGTAGGATTTATCCCTGGAATGCATGTTGATTCAACACACAAAAATCAATCAATATGGTATACCTTGCTTACCAAATAAAGAACAAAACACATAACAATATCAATAAATGCAGAAAAGCATTTTACAATATCTAGACAGTGTTTCATGATAAAAAACTGAACAAATTAGAAATAATATGAAAATTCTTCAACCTGAAAAAGCCATACAGCTAACTTCATATTTAATAGTGAAATATTAAAAATTTCCCCTCGTCAGAGTAGGAACAAAACAATGATTTTTGCTCTCACTGCTTCTGTTTGACATCACATGGGAGGTTCTACCCATGGCATTTAGGAAAGAAAAAGAAGTGGAAGTATTCCTAAAATTGTTCTACATATTCAATGTAATCCCTATTAAAATCCTAGCTTGCTTTTCTGGAGAATCAGCAAACCAACTCTAAAGTTCATATGAAAATTCAAGAAGCATCCCAGAATAGCCAAATCAATCTTGAGAAAAAAAAGAGCAAAGTTGAAGAAGTCAACCTTCCTGATTTTAAAGAAGTATTCTAAGTTCAAAATTAGATATTTGAATATTTTGATAAATTAAATATATGAATATTATCTTTTCATTTAAGATATGCCAGAAGAAATTAATAGAAATTGTTTTACATTCTACCACAAATTTCTCAAATCAAACTCTGTTCAATTTTCTCCTTCCTACATTGGCATTTTCATGAGTGCAATTTTAAAAATGTATTTACATTGGGAAAGTTAATCAATATTAAAATTTAGTTTGCTTTCACCAATGTGTGCCAATGTTTTCTTTATAGCTATTTCATTCAAATGGCCACTGATGGATCTAATCTTATCTATCTTCACCTGAACATTCCAAAAGATAATTCTATCTATAATATTTTATAACAAATTTCTCAAACCATTGATGTTAAATATTTATTATAGTTAGCTTAATGTTTTGAAATAATAGTATTGGAACTATGATTTAAGGAACTAATAATGCTAGTTAAAATCTAATGCCTAGGGCCTCAGGGAATAGCTCAATGGCAGAGTGCTCACAAGCACAAGTCCCTGGGCTTGACCCCCAGAACCACACATATACATACGTGAACACACATTCATAAATTTGTTTTACTAATGTAGTTGTCTTTCTATCAACAATTAATGCTTAATCTTTTTCTACTTTTCCAATTCAAGTTAAGAAAAAACAACCCATAAACCATCAAGAAGTTTAAAATCACTCTCTTGTTTTAAAAAAATAGACTATTCAATGAAATTAAGGTATTTGCCAGTAAAGGGATGGAACTGGACACCATCATGCTAAGTGAAAAAAGCCAGATCCTGAAAGTCAAACGTCAAATCTTTTCTCTGAAATGTGAAAGCTAGTCTGAAATCTGGAAGAAAGAAATAGTGGTGGGAGGCAATTCCATTAAAATAGAAGAATGGTTAAGTAGAGAAAGGAAACTGAGGTAGAAGAAGGAGGAACAGGATAAAAGAAGAATGATGGAATGTATCTGATCTAACTTTCTTATGTACATATATGAATACACCACAGTGAATCTCACCTTTATGTACAAAGCACTAATTTTAAAAAAACTATAGTAGAAAGATCAATAGAGTAGAGAAAGATAACAGAAGGATGGAGGAGAGGAGGGAAAGGGGAATCACTGGGGACTGAATTAGAGAAAATTATAATCTACACTTTTATAACTATGTCAAAATGAATCCTAATGTCATGTATAACTAAAAAGAACAAATAAAATAGGCTACTCAAAACTTAAATATGTGGGTTTAATATTTTGAACTTTAACTATTTGTATTAAAATTTCTTCAAAAAGATTTTTATCTTCAATGATTTTCAAAGTTCTTGCTTTAACACAAGAAAAGTGTTAAAGATGCTACTTAAGTTATAGTTTTATGATTAGTCTGACAACCAATTATACAAATAGTCATAAGAATCATTCAGAATGGATAATTCACCTTACCTGACTGGGGTGTAATGTTTTAGGTGGTTATTCTTTATATCATTAATTTCTCCTTCAGGTAGGTATAATAGCTTTTTTCCTGATAAGTTTCACAGTTTGGGGGGAAAATTCATGACATAATATGCTAGGCCATACTTCTAGGCCTCCCTTCTTGATTTTACTAGATCTTTACAAAGAACTTAACAAAGTTTAAAAATATCTGTTCATAGGTATTTTCACCAATATTTAAGGTTATAGGTAATTCGTTACATATGTAATTCTTATTTTTCTCACCTGATTAAATATATCAAGATAAATATTGAGCATTCATTCTCTTTCCAATTTCAAAGATGGATAAGCATCTTTCTTTGCTATTAACTGTCTCTAAAGAGAGGTAAAGCATTTGAAAGGTTCTAATGATAACTGAAAACTTGAATACAAATATATTTCACCCATGATGTCCATATCACTAAGGAAAGGCTGATGTTTGATCTACTGTACTTTTTTTCACAAAGTTGTTCATCTCTCCAATTCCAATTAGATTCTAATTGTGTGTATTCTAATGCAATTTGCCTTATTTCTAGATTTAGTGTGATTTTATACTGTGAATGACTCAGTACAAGATACCTATTACTCAACTGTATTACTATTTGCATGCCAGTGTGAAAAAAATAGAACTTATCTTTGAAATATAGTCCTTCTTTAGAATCATATGATACAAAACATCTTAAATTTTCACATCACCAAAAAGTCCTCAGATTATTGGAAATAAATAGATATAAATATTATGAATTAAATTGCCATTTTTATAAGAACTTATTTCCCCTGGCTAGATTACACAAAGGGTGAAATGGAGTTATTTGAAACCACACTGATGTGAGAGGAAGACTGAGATATCCTATTGTTTTATGCTCACGATTATCCTAGTTCATGCTCTAGAAAAAAAACACTATCAATTTTAGAATTTAAAGGAATGACAAAAAACAAAACAAAACAAAACACTTTACTTTTTAAAAAATGAATTTCATTTGGAAACTTCCCTAAGGTGTTCTGACTTGAATATTTCTCAATCAAGACACAGGGTGGCGCTGCAGGCTAAGAATGTGAATACAAAAAGCGCCCTAAAAAAGCTCGCGATTCTTCATATTGTAAAACGTAATGTTAAATAAATCAACGTGTAAGAAGCTTTGCAAAAAATACGGAGTTACCAGGAGGTTTGGACAGAGATATTCTAAATCAATTTGAGACTACAAACAACTTTGTAAGGATTCCTGCACGCAAGAAATTAGAACTGAAGGTCTCAAGTTTTTCTGTGATTGGTGAAGGGATTGGATGTAAGCAATCTGACTCCAACATGGAGAAGCTGGAAAGAATTCAACCAAACAGGCAAGTGATGGTCTTTATTTTTATGGTGTTCATGCCTCAGGGTCGCACGGAGCCTCTTCGTTATTTTATACAGGAGGAAACAGAGAGCTGCTCCTTTGTAGCCCATCTGACCAAGGACCTGGGCCTGGGAACTGGGGAACTGGCTGCCCGGTCTGCTCGAGTTGTGTCTGATGATGACAAACAGCATTTGCTGTTGGATCCTCAGACTGGGGATTTGCTTCTCAGGGAGACATTAGACCGGGAAGAGCTGTGTGGCCCTATTGAACAGTGTGTACTGTATTTCCATGTCTTGCTGGAAATGCCAGTGCAAATTTTTCAGGGAGAATTATGGATCCAGGACATAAATGACCACTCTCCAGCATTCACTGATGGGGAAGTGCTCTTGAAAATACCAGAAAACAGCCAGCCAGGGACTCTATTTCCATTGAAAGTAGCCCAGGATTTGGATGTGGGTAGCAATGGGCTTCAAAAATACACCATCAGTCCCAATTCTCATTTTCACATCCTTACACGAAATCACAGTGAGGGCAAGAAATACCCAGACCTGGTACAAGACAAAGCCCTGGATAGAGAGGAGCAGCCTGAATTCAGCTTAATCCTCATGGCTCTGGATGGTGGCTCTCCACCTAGGTCTGGAACAATCACAGTTCGAATCCTGATCATGGACGTCAATGACAATGCTCCCGAGTTTGTGCATACCCCATATGAGGTGCAGGTCCTGGAGAACAGCCCCTTAGATTCCCCAGTCCTCAGCGTCTTAGCTAGGGATGCAGATGCTGGAAACTTTGGGAGTGTTTCCTATGGCTTGTTCCAACCATCTGATGAGATTAAACAAACTTTCTCAATAAATGAAATCACAGGGGAAATTCGACTGAGGAAGAAATTGGATTTTGAAAAAATTAAATCTTATCACGTGGAAATTGAGGCTATAGATGGAGGAGGCCTTTCTGGAAAAGGCACTGTGTTTATAGAGGTGGTGGACGTGAATGACAATGCCCCAGAACTTACCATATCGTCACTCGCTAGCTCCATCCCAGAAAATGCTCCTGAGACCGTGGTTTCTATCTTCAGAGTTCGAGATAGAGATTCTGGAGACAATGGAAAGATGACTTGCTCTATTCCAGATAATGTGCCCTTCATTCTAAAACCAACTTTCAAGAACTTTTACACCCTGGTGACAGAGAGCCCGCTGGACAGAGAGAGCAGAGCAGAATACAACATCACCATCACAGTCACCGACATGGGGACACCCAGGCTAAAAACCGAGCACGCCATAACCATCCTCGTCTCTGACGTCAACGACAACGCCCCTGCCTTCTGCCAAATGTCATACACGCTGTTGGTGCGAGAGAACAACAGCCCCGCCCTGCACATAGGCAGTGTCAGCGCCACAGACAGAGACTCAGGCACCAATGCCCAGATCACCTACTCGCTGCTGCCAAACCAGGACCCGCACCTGCCCCTCGCCTCCCTTGTCTCCATCAACGCAGACAATGGGCAGCTGTTCGCGCTGAGGGCGCTGGACTTCGAGGCCCTCCAGGCATTCGAGTTCCGCGTGGGCGCCACAGACCAAGGCTCGCCCGCGCTCAGCAGCCAGGCGCTGGTGCGCGTGGTGGTGCTGGACGACAATGACAACTCGCCCTTCGTGCTGTACCCAATGCAGAACGCCTCTGCGCCCTGCACTGAGCTGGTTCCCAGGGCGGCAGAGCAGGGCTACCTGGTCACCAAAGTGGTGGCGGTGGATGGAGACTCGGGCCAGAACGCCTGGCTGTCATACCAGCTGCTCAAGGCCACGGAACCTGGGCTGTTTGGCGTGTGGGCGCACAATGGCGAGGTGCGCACCGCCAGGCTGCTGAGCGAGCGCGACGCGGCCAGGCACAGGCTGGTGGTGCTGGTCAAGGACAATGGCGAGCCTCCGCTGTCTGCCAGCGTCACGCTGCACGTGCTTCTGGTGGATGGCTTCTCCCAGCCCTACCTGCCGCTCCCAGAAGTGGCGCCCGACCGCGCGCAGGGGGACTCGCTCACTGTCTACTTGGTCATCGCCTTGGCCTCGGTGTCATCGCTCTTCCTCTTTTCTGTGTTGGTGTTCGTGGCGGTGAGGCTGTGCAGGAGGTGCAGGGCGGCGCCGCTGGGTGTCTTTTCTGTGCCTGAGGGCCACCTTCCTGGCCACCTGGTGGATGTCAGTGGCACCGGGACACTGTCTCAGAGCTACCAGTATGAGGTGTGTTTGGCTGGAGACTCTGGGTCTGGTGAGTTCAAATTCCTGAAGCCAATATTCCCAAACCTCTTGGTTGAGCACGCTGGGAGAGAAGTTAAGGAAAATTCCAACTGCAGAAATAGTTTTGTATTCAGCTAATTGTTGTATTTCCTTCTCACTAATTTTGCAACTACCTATTGCAATTTCTTTGTCTTTAGTAATTCTAGTGCTAGTAAAGTATTCTAAACACTATTCCAAACCTATGTATATTCTTGATAGTTTTAATTTTTTTCCTTTTATTGGCATTATTCTTAGCATTTTTAGGCATAGGAGGTATATATTTTCTCCATATTTGATCTTAATGGTTCCTTTTTCATTACTGTAAGTTAATCAGGTACACAAAACCTTTTATTTTAATGAAATTCTTAATGAATTTTATGACCCATTTAAAGGCTTGTATTAAATCTTGAATTTCCATGTATTGTGGTACCCATCTTTAACATATAAGATTATCTTTCAATACTACAGTATTAGCCTTGAAAAAAAAATGAATGGTTTGCTATGCTATCAGGTTAAGCCCACTTAGTAGCTATGAGCAGAAAACCTAGCCTACTTGTTTTTCTCAAATTGCATGTCAACATTATATTTCATTAAAATATTAATACACAAAAAGTGTGACCTGTTCCTGTTGTGAGCACCACATATGCAAGACATTGATATTTTATTTGGTTGCTACTTACCTAAAACATTGAAAGTGTTCCATAGATACTAAGATTTAAAAATTTTAAATGATTGTGATTTAAGATAAACTAAAAGGAGACTATCATATAATTTGCCATCCCCCTTTACTACATAAAACTGTTAAATCACTTTTTTACATAATCATATTCAAAGAATAATCTCAGAGCCTGAATTATGCCCTCAATTCCTCCAAAGAATTCAGGATTCTTGAGGGCCTCATATATCTCCTTGTCCTTTTGCTCTATAAATAGATGACCAAGAGGAATTTACTGTGTGTGTTTCCTTTGGTTTTCCTGCAGCTTCTCCCCACTTTTCAAAAATCAGGAAAATTCTGCATTTTGGCTGTCCTGTTTAGCTCTTTTTGGCTGATCATAGATTTTGCACTTTGTAGATGTGAGAGGTCTTTAATAACAACCTAATGACCTCTTTTTGATGTTTAATTATCTTCAGTTTTGTTTTTTAAAGTGACAAATTAATTTTTTCAATGATACCAAATTTGCATTTGTATGAACTAAGTATTATTTTGTCCTTGAGTAGCTTGAACAGTAATGAATTTATATGAATTATAATAGCTCTAAGTTGTATTCAATAAGCCTAGTGAGTTATGTGATTCCTAACTGGTTAAACTTATATGAATATAAGACAACTTCATTGTGCTTCTGGCAGAAAATAAGCAGCTAAAAAAAGCTTATTTTATAATTTAACATTTTAAAATCAGAAGTATCATTTTATTGGAGATTAAGGACTTGTATTTTTCCCTGAATTAATAATTTCACTGAGGATATAATAAGAAAGGAAAATTAATGACATTTAAGTCGTTCTTGAAATATAGTTTTTAGCCATTATTCATGTGAAAAGTTGAAGTGAGGAAGAGATAAAAATGAAAACAGAATTAAACACAAACATATACAAGACATAAATATGATTTCTTCCTTATTTATTATCACCAATTTAAATGAATAACTTTTATGTATAACAAGTAATATTTCTGGTTGAAGTTTTCACCAATATATTTTAAGATCATGAAAATTCAAGTTTATATTTCAAAACTTCAATCTGTCTGATCACACAAAGGAGACGGGACAAATGATCATCCAGAACACACTTCATTCCTGTGTGTATTTATAAAGTTTGAACCATTCCTTACTTGATAGAGGATACCACCAGAATGTAGAAAAGATCAACATTATGATATTCAGTTACTAGGATTTAGTAGTGACTATGATACAAATAATATCCACAACATGCATGGCATATGAAAATATACTAATTTTACTGTTACAAAACTAAGATAGAGAATGCAGGCTAATATCTTGACAATGACACCCGTTTCAATATGCTTTTTTTCTCCATTGCTTCTTACAAATGCATCTTTTATCATTTCTTCTCTGTTGTCTTTAGTGAGTTTAACATGCGCTATTCGGAGGGCAGAAATTCAACTGAAGTCAGTGTGACCCATATAAATGTAATATCCCCTTTTCTTTTATGATAAAAAGTTACAAAAATATTTTTAAAGTGTGAGGTTAAAACATGAATGTATTTACTGGATTCTGCTTCCAGGTTATATGTATTATTTGGAAGCATAAAACAACAATCAAAACTGGCCATGATTCAAAAATCATCTCTCATAGCAACAGATGATACAATATGATACAATAAGACCTGAATGGGCTATGATTTTTTTGAGAAGGAATATCCCTGGGGAGGAGAACTAAATCCTACAATCAATTCACCCCACCCCCCCACCCCCGCCAAATTGGGTAAATCTGAAAACAAACACAACAGCCTTTTGTTGGGAACACAGTAACTTCAGTCATCTTTGGAAGACTGGAGTATTCAAGCTCAGGATCAGCTTCCTCTCAGGGAACTTGTCAAGCCCAGAGCAGCTTAGGGGACACTAAAAACTTAAGTGGAAAATTCTTCAAAATCAGAGTAAAGTTTTTCTTGCTATAGGAAGATTAGAGTTTGGGATTTCCATAGAAAGAGACTATAGAGGATATACTAAATTCTCCACTGAAAATTCTGAAGGGCTAGATGTTTATCAAGACTTCAAATAATCTTTTTTAAAATTTAGCTGTAGATGGAGATAATATCTTTATTTTTATTTATTTATTTTTATGTGGTGCTGAGGATTGAACCCAGTGTCTCATGCATGAAAGGTAAGTACTCTACTACTGAGCTACAACTCCAGGCCACTTCAAAGAATCTTGATTGAATCCAGTGCCTATTTTGATTAAGACAGTTTGTTTGGATTGGTTCTGTCAATCTCCCAGAAGAAAAAGTGACTTCTTCCTGGAGGAAGATAATATCATCTTGATTCTAAACAGTTTTCTTTACATAAATATCCAAAGTTCAGTATAAAATTAGTAGATGCATGTGCATGTTTATGTATACATGGACACATATAAACACACAACTGGATGGTACAGATGAAATAGAGCAAAAACATAACCCCTCCAATGCAGGGATGATATAGATATTATAATTAGTTGACTGTTGAGAGCCACAGCCGAAGGGGCCCCAGCAAACTTCCAGCTGCCGGCTGATGATTGGCTCACAGCGGCCCCAGCAACATCTAGCTGATTGGCTCCTCGGCCCCAGCAACATCTAGCTGATTGGCTCCTCTGCGGTGATGCTCATTGGGCTGTTTCCCTGCCCTTTCAGACCACGGAGATGCTCATTGGGGGACTTTTTTGGCTCCGCCCATGTGACCCAGCCAATCGGCCTCAAGAGCAGGAGGATTGTGGGAGGTGGGGAGAAGCTTGTGTGGGAGAGAGAGGCTTGTGGAAAGCCGGTGGTGGCAGTTGAGGCTCTGAGGGTTTTTCCTGAGAGGCTGTTTTGTTTGGTGTGTGTGGTTCTAAAAATAAAGTTAGTTTCTTTTGACAAGTGGCTCCTGATTGTGCCCAGCCAGACTGCGGCAGTTGACAAACAATTAAAACAAGTATGGCTAATGTGCTAAAAATAATGAACAATAGAGAAAATAGATATAAAGAGAATTTCACCCAACAATTGAAAATATAAAATGGAAATTAATTCTACAATTGAAAGATATAATGCCTGCTATAAAACTAAATAGTTTAATGTCATTGACATTGAGGAATACAGTATCAGTGCATGCAAGATAGTTCAATATGAAACATGAATTAAAACAAAAAATAATGAAAAATATAGAAAGGACATTACTTGAATTTGGGATATAAGGAAAAACTCATACATATTGGAATTCTAGGATAAGAGAGCACAAAAGTGGGTAATAAACAATATTTAAACAGATAATGATAAGATTGAGAAAAGTGGTCAACCTTCAATCTTATTTATTTATTTATTTATTAGGATTAATAAAAAGCAAAGCACAACTAGGCATATTGTAGGAAATTTGCTCAACACAAACTAAAAAACATTTAAAGCAACCATATAAAATAATTTATTACTTTTAAAGATGCATAAGTAAAATGGAGACTTTTTTTTAACATAAATCAATGAAACAGAAAGGCAATGGATTAATGTCTTGAAGACCTGGAAGAAAATTATTACCAGATTAGAATTCTATTGCCAGTAAACATAACCATCAAAAGGATATTCTAATATGTTTTGGTTTCAAACAAACAAAAACTGAGAAAATTAATCAGTAACATCTGCACTAAAAGAAATACTGGATAGTACAGATAAAATTTAATCTGCAAAAGGAAAAGAATCCTAAATAGATCATAGAATTGAAGGAAGAAAAAAAAGAGAAAGGAAGGGTAAATATAAGTATTGATCTAATGTTGATTATAGTAGGCAATCATAGTAGTTTCTTAAAGCATTTAAAATATATGACTTTTAAATTCATAATAGCAAAAACACCAATTTACAGGTATAGAATTAGAGATTTCCAAGGTTCCAAGCATTATCTCATGAATGTAGAAACAATTTGTGGTAGGTTCCTGTAGATAAGAGATGTATCCTGTAAAAAAAATTAACCAAGAAAAGAAGTGAAGGAAATTTCTAAAAGATAACGAGTATTTCAATAATCCAAAGAACAAAACCTTAGGGGTAGTGGAAAAATAATTATATTTTAAGTATAGATTAAGTGATATTAGATATTATATTATACTTGGATTAAGTAAATCAATTAAATATCATAATTGTCAGACTAGACTTAAGAAAACTCAAATATATGCTATTAAATAAATTTGTATGTGTGAGAGAGATCGAAAACAAAGATTGAAAGTTAAAAAATGGGACAAGGCTCAGCAAATCTCAACATAATGTACATCCAGAAGAAATTAATTTTTAAAAACTATGGATAAGTTGCAGAAAGATCAGTAGAATACAGGAAAGGGAGCAGGGGTGGGAGAAGGGAAGGGAGGGGGAATTAGTGGGACTGAATTACAAGATATAGTCCATGCTTTTATAATTATGTCAAAATGG